GAAAAAAATATGTAAAAAGTACATAGTGGGGTTTTTTAGTACGAGAAAACCGAATCCTACGTTAGTTTTGCGATACAATTAATTTTTGATACAATTTTCAAAAAAAATGTGGATTTTTCATGGGAGCTATACCTATATTACATCGTAATGACGTAAGAACACAGGTTATTTTTTCACAAAAAAATTACATTCTGAAAGTTTGGGTAAAATTTATTGGATTTCTTCCAAAACATGTATATATGGTGTTCTTAGGCCCCGAATATCATAAAACCTACCTGGAATGTTGAAAATCAAATACTTCTCTTTTTTGGTCCACCCTATTGCATAACTGCTATTGCAAAAACATATTAATTTAGCAAATAGTTAACATTATTATAATTGTAATGATGTTTGTATGATACATACGATGAATTTGGTCACGTGTGCGAAAAAATAATCACGTTATATGTGTACGCTATACGAACAATTTTGTTTCATAGTGAGTTGGATAACTGATTTGACATCTGCTGGGCATTGGCGATCGTATTGTAATATTACTGTAATAATATTAGATAATTTAATTTCGTCAACGTACGCCTCTATCGCCTTTCTTAATGGCTCAAAATATCAACTGCCATATCCATTGGATAAAATGTTTACGTTGTTGTTTTTTTTTAAACAGTCTTTGAGCATAATTTCATTGAACATATGCATTATCAACCAATGCATTTGAAGGATATTCAGCTGTTCTAATGATATTTCTTTTGTAAGAAGTACATACACTAAAGAAGATCACATTTTGCCGTTTACTCCTTCTTTTGATATATTATTCAGGTAATTTATACATCATATACATATGGACAAAGCTATCTCTTTGGTCAGTCATTACAACATTTATACACATGAAGCGAATCATTTTGCGCTGACATATGATCTTTGACACATTGAACCTAATCATTTTAAAGCAATTATTGGCCATCTCAACCATCAAAATAATTCACTTGAAATACTTGTTACCTTTTGACATTTTAATTATTGTATAAATTTAAAATTAATACGGGTATTAAATGAAACATATCATTGGATGGAAATACATTTTTTGAAGCAACCAATAAAGTGTCAACATTTCTGATATTCATAGGTGTGCACCCAGCTTTTGTGGGTCTAGAAATGTTGAAAACATTGAAATTGTTTCCCAACAAACTGATACCTTTTTTGCACTTCAATTCATTTCCGAAAAAGCAATTTTACACCATAAAGAATAGACCTAAATAGAAGAAAAATCTTTTCTCCCGTTCATCAATTTTGAACCAAGATAAAAATCTCCCTTGGATCATCACCGTCAAAAAGCCATTACCTATCGTCACGTTGAAGAGATTCTTACTTATGTATGAAAATGTGCAAATTACTTAAAAATTAACCTGTAAACCAAAAAAAACATGCAAACAAATTTAGAGGAAAGAAAATGTTCAATTGTTGTGAAAATAATCGGCTGTACATTTAAATGAAAAGCGCAATCCGAAAAATTGACTAACTATCTCCCCAATTGTAGATAGAAACTTGTATTTTAGGTCAATTTGTTATGTATTCGAATGTTTCCTCTTAGATATACGGCACAGTTCCCACAATTCAGTAACAAACACACACACAGAGACACATATTCATTCATATGATATTTTTGCATGGGTGAAAACAAAACTTATGATACGAATGTACGTTACGGTACTGTTGAGCTAAAATAATGGCAAAACAGGGGAACCGGAAGAGCTACTGTAATGCAAAAAAACGGTTGTCTAAACACCTTAATTTGCATAAACAAATTCGCATCCATATTTCAGAATTTTTATTTTGTCACGTGACAAAATACATGGCAGATGATATTAGGAGCGAAATTTACACACCACATCGCATTACGCGATACAATTTAAAACAAATGCCAAAATTACATAGAGGTATTTGGTGTGATGTCTGTTTGGTGTATATAATGGACGAATGAATGCGAACGGCACATATCGTGGAAGATTGTAATAAAATGACAGATTTAATCATTGTAAAGTGTCACCATAATTTAGCACGTCACATAAAAAACAGACACCCATACACAAATATACAAATGCGAACAAACATGGTATTGCATACAATGTATTCACTTGCAGTGGCATACGACATTGCCAGATTCATGTCTGTTCTCTCTCGCTTTTATTCGTTGTCATTTTGCTTTCACCTGACTGTATAGGAATGAATGCATGACTTTGTAATAAGGCAATGGATCTCAAACATTTTACTTGTTTTTTGGTTCTGCTGCTGCTGCTGCTGCTGTTGTTGTTCTGTTTTGTTTTTGTCATTGTGTCCTCTCGCATCTTTTGTGAAGCATATGTTTGTTGATTGTGTGGTACGCAAACACACTTCTTCTCAGATAGACTTTATGTCGTTTGCTTTTTTTTAAAAAGAAAACACAAGAGTGTTCTTTTTTCGGTTCCAAAGCGGCACCGCTTGGGTACGAATATAGCAGATTTGTGATATCATACATAATAAAATTTTAGAACACACAAGAGACACGCTGTTGTCCAAAATAAATTGTTCATGGAATTCGCACGCCTACCAACTCGAGCGACATTTGCAGCGTTGTGATTCTCATTCTCTTTTATACGTTGTGATGTGTCGTTGAAAGCGTTTGAGTTAATCCAATAATAGAATACTAATGGAGATCTCAAGAATGAAGCGATATCGTAGACATCGATTGTGTGCGCTTGTTAATATATTGTATTCAATGGTATGAACGTTCAGCAATTGGCCATATTAAAAACTCAAGCCAATTGCCAGAAGAAATTCAAATCGAAATCGTCATCGTTTTTCCGCAATATTCATTTCATTTCAATATTTGTCGATTGGTTATTTTTCGGTTGGATTTTGTATATCATGAATACTAAAAATTTCAATCGGTTTTGCATTCTCCATACATAAGTCGGTTGGCTTGAAGCATTTATTCGATTGAGTATGGAAAGCAAATAACGGACGGTCCGTATTGAGACAAAGAGCGCAAAAATATAGAAAATTACTTGACGTTTAGATGAGAAAATGCAATAAATTTGATTTTCTTTTGTTTTCGCTCCGAAAATACAATTGTACACAAATCACGTCTATTCTTAATCAGATATTGATTTGTACTAACTAAATTATGCTAAATAAATACAAAAGTGATTTCACACATAAACGTGATGAGCATGCTGCCTTAGTAATTACGATTGTTGCTCTTTTCAGTTCACTTCACACTGACTTTCACAGACATGAATTTTGTGCGCCAAACATGCTCATCAGACAAACTTTTATATAATACATGCACTTGAATTTGATGTGGCGATGAGTATTCGTTGGTATCAATATTTGGAGCACATGACACGGGCAATTCAAGAAAAAAAGAGACATAAACCGTTTTACCATTTCATGTACGTGGTAAATTGGTTTTTTTTAAACATCATTTCACTACTGTTTCGAAAATCGAATTACGAGCGTTTATCAAATGAAGTTAGCCAAACTCATGCTCAATTATTTGCACAATATTCCAGTTTGAGGAATGGAATTAATTAACATTAGGTAAAATTACATATGTTTATACATTTCATATGATTACATATGTTTTTGTAGGACAACTGCCATGAATTTGAAGAAGTACTATGAAGATGGTGTTGACTATCAAAGACATTTATACAATAATCGAACAACCAGTTTTACAGTAATTATTTGTAATATATGTTAAAAAATCATCGAATTGGTTTTTGGGAAAATTAGGAACATTCATATTTGTAAGCCATTTCGATCCAATGCCGTTAAAACCTCATTTAAAAAACACCATCGCTCCTCAACTGGCTCCGTGAAATAGTAGCTTCCACAGCGGCAGGCGCATGAAAAAAAAACACTTGGCTTTTTATAATTGAGAGCCACCTGAAGAGCGCCACTTTTATAAAATGCATCTCCACATGGAAGCATAATAATAGGTCCAGGTTTTGAATTTCTATCTCTGTACTCAATTTCAGGATATTTTCTCTCAACTCGCAGAATCGATATCATGTCTTCGGAATCTCTCTCTAGAATCATTTTCTCCAGATACAGACAGCTAAGCAGCGCAACAACTTCACTATGCGGAAGTGCTTATTAAATGATCAAAATTTGTGCCATTTTTGGCTACGCTAGCAACGTCCCTTATCCATCGATTTGCTTTGTACAACCTACGTCTCGCATCCATACAGAATATATTTGACTCGAAGATTGACTCAAAGATTGACTCAGAAGTCATCACGCTCAATTGGCACATGTGCAACAACCTTATTTCCAATCATTCACCGATGCTCAAATTCCTTGTCAAACTTTTGCTCATTGGAAAATGTTCAAAGACAATGAATAGTTAAAAGCACTTTAAGCTGGTTTAAATATTCACATTTCCTTATTACATACTTTCATCAAATGATAGAGCTTCTCACACAAAACCATCCACAAACATGCTGTTATGATACGTTGAACGATATACTCCCCAAAGTGCAATAATTCACATTATTTTTCTGTTTGACACATTCCCATTCTACAGCATTCAAATTTAAAATTCAATACATTATTCAGTCATCTGTACAATACAGTAGATTGATTTCAATGGTTCTTATAAGTAAAATTGTGTGGCATCTTTGGTAAAAATGAATTGCATGCATTTTGATAAAAACAGATTACCGAAAAACGATGTAACGAATTATGCAAAAACGTACACGTTCATTCAAAGTTTTTATTTCAAAACACAAAATTAATTGAAGTGGCAACTGAAATATAGTAATTGTTGAGTTAGCGGATGTTATTTGTCAAATGTATGACTGCTGGACGCGTTCAAAATTACCTCAAAATGTGCTACGTGATTAAGTTGTTAAATAAAAATTGCGATAGATTTTACGCAGTCATTGTGGGATACTTGATGAAATTCACTGGTTGCATATATTTTCGTATAAAAAGACCGACATGATTATGATTCGATACTAAATTCAATCCAGACGTCGAATTGAAAGCATCACAAATAAATCAATTACAATGAATAAGTTTGTTAGTATCTATTTGTGGTACATCATTTATTATTTTAAAATTAATAAATTACATTTTCTGGTTGAGCACTTTTAGCTGAAGATGTTTCGTTTGTTCATCAAAATCAAAATAAATTATAGAAATGTCGTTTTTTTTTATTTACAGATTTCAATTGTTATTCTAATGGTCATCGCTTGTGCTAGCGCAAAGCCTTCACTCGTTGGAGTGGCCCCAATTGCATATAATGCACCACTTATAGCCCCTGTCCCAGCACCTTTGCCATTCGTAACAGCCACAAGTTCCCAAGTCGTAAGTTTATCATATCATTTTTCACAGTAACAAAAATTGAATCAACCTCTTCTGCAGGTATCAAGAAATTACAATGCTGCTTATGTTGCTTCACCAGTAATTGCTGCTTCACCTTATATTGCCAGTCCATTAGCATATTCGACTCCATACGCTGCGGCTCCATTCACATCACCAGTTTTTCTGTGAGATATTCAATGAGAAATATCATTTTCTTCTGAAGCACATATTACAAATGTGAAAATTGTAAAAATTGAAAGAGAAAATGAAAAAACAAAAACATTGAACAAAGAATAAACGCACATTATAAAAGTTTAAAAGTTTTGTTTTAAGCTCTATTCTGCCAACTTGCAATCTCTTTTCAATTAAGTTGTATAAAATGCAGTGAACGAGTTTTTGCGGCTAAAAAAACCGAACCATAAAGAAATTGATTAGCTGAATAAAAGTGAAGGAGATTCGCAAACTAAAGTTCTAACGATGTGGAGAAAACGATAGATTTTAGATTATTTTCAACTTTAATGATCAGTGTTCAATGTTTGCGCAATGAACGACTCCGGATTTAATAAAGACTTTTCCAAATGCATTCATTCGAATTTTCGTCGAAAAGTTAATAAGTGTAGATGTGGCATTTTCACTTTTGCGCTGAATGTACAATTGTACATTAACAAAACGGCTTGAATCGCATTCGAAATACGTGACGCAATACATATGATTGTTTGCCTAATAGTTTTAATTACTTTGTCTAAAAAAAAGCGTATTTGATTTATTCAGTTTTCGAAGCGCATGCCAGAAACTGAATTGTAGTGAACCGATTTTAATCGACAATTTCGTTTCGCAAATATATCCAGACAGCAACTATTCCACGGAATTTCTATTGTCAAGTTAAACAAATAAAGTGAATACAAAAATGTTCGAAACACACTCCGATAACTAGAATACTTTATCACGAACAATTTTATGGTTTCTTGCACGCACATCTATAATTTCAATTGTGTTGTTCGATATTCAATAGCATTATCGAAATGAATCATATGCCGAGCACCATACTTGAGAAAGCAATGTGAATGAATAGAGAGAGAAAACACGACGTTCATTTTCCTGTGCCGGAAAAATTTTCTCATCCCAATAGTAATGTGGTAGCTGTATATGCTGAATGCGATATATCGATATATATATATATTCAATAAAACCTAATTCATATGCTTTACGTGTTCAACTAAAATGGACAAGGTCCGTCCTCCTTCAAATCATTCTAGATTTTTCAATTTCCTCTTTCAACCGAAGTCATTCCGCAAACGAATCGAATATACTTTAACGTCTTGAATAGTAAGTCTATGGTAAATACAAATTCTCCCATTCCCATTCGGTGCATACCCAAGCATTTACATGATTTGCCTGTACCACACATTTTTAAAATGGTAAAAGAAAAACAACCCGAAGAAGAAGAAGAACTAGAAAACGAAAAAAAAACAATATTTTCAATTTCACTGTCAGCATTCACTCGCACTTGCATTCCCAATTTGGCTTTGCATATGCACATTGAATGTAATAATCTTAATTCAAATTACTTATGAACTTAATATTCCATTGTTTGATTGTAAACATTTTACTAATTACGATACACTTAAAGTGCATCGACGTGCGTGCAAATTTCATCCAGTAGTTTCCAATTGCAATTGCATTGGTTTTGTGCTATGCTTTACCCTTTTGTGACAAACACACATACATACGTACATACCATGTAAATGTTGTATCTGTCTACATCACTTCAGTTTGCCGCAATAATGCGATACAACGTTCCGTATAAATCGTCTGTATTGTTAACATTTGCATGCAAACAGCTGAAGCAATATCATTGAAAATCTTTCTTCTTACAACATGTATATTTTCTGCATTTTCTGCACTTGGAAATTAAATTCAGTGTAACAATGCAATTCATTAGTGTGCATCGTGCATTTTAAATATGCTCTGTATGCACTGAGTAAACCCGACGATGTTATATCACAGAAGTCAAACAGATTTTGATATGCCACAATATATGTTGACATTTTTGAGTCTTTGTTTTCAGGTCGACACACTTGATTAGTTTTTTTTTGAAGCAGTATTAAATTTATGTGCGTCTTTTTTTAAGTAAATCAGTTTTCAAAGTAAAATCTCATCGCATTGCATTTATTTTCAACTTCGATGTATTCAGCCGTTTCTGTGCAATTGCTGTGCGGTTTGATATTCAAATAGCGCAAATATTCAAATATTGTAACGAAAGTTAAAAACATAAGAGTGATAACGGAAACTGACAAACAATTTCAAACTCGAGCTGCATTCCAAAAAGACAAATAATTCATCAAGACATAAAAGACTCACTGATACAATGCGAACAGTTAATGTATGATTTCTGTTAAAAATGTTTACGTTGCTTCAACAGTTTTATCACATAACATAGTATAATTCAACGTTTACAGTCGGTTGCTTGTTGCATATACAAATTGACGTATTTTATTTGAATCAATTTTATAAAGAATTTTTGCTCCGACTGTGGGTCCATTGACTTAACTTGTCTTCCATCCATACATTCAAAAAATTGTCGGCCGTTTTCATGAGTTTGAAATGGTTTTATTTTCATGTCAAAGTGAATTGTTGCATTATTCCATTTCAACAATGTCATTTCAACAATGTAAACCTGTGTCGCGTGTAAACCGATTTGTTTGCGCGTAAACTTTTGTCAATTTTTCGTTTGAATCATTGCAATGCATTCCGCTCATTATTAACAAAATGACTTATGCAGAACACATCATTCGTTTTATGCATCCAAAACCAAAAACTACGTGAACTATACACCACCAATCGAATGTTTAAAAGTTGTTTGACTTCTCGTTAGTAAATTGTTTGCACACCGATTCATGTGTGTGTGTATGATAGCTCTACCTCCATACATAGATATCGAGGTATGTGTATCTGCTTAAAAACGAAAAGAGCGACAGAGCGCGTACCTTTATGAAGTACATAACAGTTTTGCCGATTTTCGGTGTGGAGAATGGATGAAAAGCACACGAAATTATGTTTGACGAAGGAATTGAAAGGTATCGTTAGCATTGTAAACAAATAGCTCTACAAACACAACTAAATTACAGGAGATATTTGTGACGTTGACTCGTGCATGTGTTGTGAGTATATGATTTTAAACCGAATCTCATTGTCTCGTGTTTTTTTTCACTGCCATCAGTGAAAATCTCGTCAAGAGACTAACATTGGCTTGTTAAAGCCAAACAACATAATATCGTGTATTCTTAAGCATTTATCGAAACCAAATGTTCGAAGCACTTTGTCCCCTTCGAATATTACTAAAACAAAATGATTCATTTTATAAAATGGTCAAACTGGCTCCGACTAGATGCTAGTAATTTGGACACTTTTATGATAATGTTATTGTGTTTAAATTTTTAATTAAAACATCCCATTCCATTTTAATGGAGAAAAATCAGCTCAACAGATGTGAACATTGACAACTTTTAAATCCCTTTAGTTTGACGTGGAAAAAAAAACTTTTCAATTTCATTAAAATGTCCTATGCTATTCTGTATCAGCGGTATTGCAATTAAGTTAACTGCTTAACTATTTAGTAGCAATATCGATATTATCGCATGGCATACGTTCGGTGGTTTCACGTAAAGTTTTCTTGTAAATATTTATGTCACCAGCATTCCATAACTTTTAATAAGCTCAATTTTTTTCCAAACTTAGCATCACTTGTTACGATAAGATTATGCTTTTTATCACCTGTGCCATCATTTCATCGTTTCATTTCTCTTCGTTGAGTACATTCAAGTGCAATTTTTTTTTTGTCGGGGGGCCAAGAGCCAGAAACGACATCGAAAAGAAGAACAATAATTGAATGTTTCAGCGATAATTTGAATTTTACTTGAATTTCGATGGCTGCTATCATTGTTAACGACGGGATAGCTTGGTGCAGGAGAAGGAGATTAGCAGAATGCCAGCATGTAATGCTGCTCTTATCTAAATTGTTGTAAAGTAATAACAATTATGCACCGATTTCACAATAAAGCATCCCACACTCTTTGCGATGCGAATCGCTTTCTTAATGATAGAGCATGATGCGGGCATTAATACACTTCAAACGCTTATTACTTAAATTTTCGTTGTTTCCGTTTTTTTTCTCTCTCTCTCTTCTATCTCTGTAAAATGCCACTATTGATTTTCATTCTTATTTATCTTTTGGCCAATTCTTACTTTCAAACACAGCAAATTCTTGCTCCTCCAACTGAATCCTTGTGACGTCGTACAACTGATAATACTCTGATACCACTAACTGTAATTCAATTATTTAAACTTTGGACTTGAGCAAAGTCAACAGCGAACAAAGTTTCATTGAAATAAGAGCACAAAATACTACACCGAGAACTATTCAAAGTTTACAGACATTTTTCTCTCTCTCTCTCTCTCTCTCTCTCTCTATTTCACTTTTTCAGTTTGTGTCACTTTTTCATTGTTTCTTGTTATCATTGTTGCCATGCCCCCCTTTGCGCTGATATTTCTACATTGTTTCGTTCCTCTGTCAATTCATTCTCATAAAGTTGAGTTCAATTTTTCTTCCGGACTCGGTAACTAGTGAGTGTAGTTGTGCAAGCTGTTGAACAAATAGAAGTAGGGGCATGACAAGCTGCATGCAGAGACTATAGCCAATTAAATAAAAGAAACACGTATCGAATGCATCGAATACATCGTCACAATATTTGGCAAAATCTGCTGCATGTGCCGTATTATACCGTTTCTGAATGGAGGTATAAAAATAGAGATCGAGACGAAATTTGAGCTTAATGTAACCATTCGATGTAATTGGAAATTCGTGCAAATCTTCATGGCAAATTTTATCATTCTATTCGTTTAGTTTCATTACTTCATTTCTTTTCATTCCTCTTTTATTTTGTTCCCTGTTTTTTTTTTTCATCGACAGTTCCGATTTTTACTCGCTATGACAGGAGTTTTATTAGTTTTGAAATTACGAAACGATTTATACTCTATCTCACTCACTTTTTTCAGCAACTTGTATTCGCTCAATCTTCGGGTTGCTCTCATTATCTTTTATTATTTAATATGATTTAGTTTCCTTTGCTTTTGTTACACGATAATCGATTTAATAACAATTATAATGATGAAAATTAATTACACATTACACACATTTGGGTTTGTCCATTTCAATGCCAATCTTTATCTATGTATGTGAATGATATAAAAACCAAAAATAATAATGCGGAGAACAAAAAACACCATAAAAATCGTATTGCCATTAAAAGAACTAATTTCT